GCAGGCCTGGTGCCGAGTCTGAAGGAGGCTCCAATTTGTACCTATTCTCTCGGTGAAATGGTGAAGTGAGCTGGCCAATTGTAGCCCTTACTTCATTTGTTTGGCATCCTTTAGGGTTAATTGCCCATTGCTTTCTCATGTTCATTGTCTTAAAACCATCATTTGATATAGTTTATCAATTTTTTGGTTGTTTCAGGAAAAACGTTAAGTTCTGTATTTATTATTTCATTTTAGTTGAAAGTGTAAGTCTCTCCAGTCTATTGCTCGTTATTATAGCAGCATTTTTATATTGCTAATCAGATTAACCTATCTTATGGCAAAATGCACACCTACCTACAAACATGCACGTACACCACAACAGTTCTACCCATGGGGAATTATCAAAACCCCTCACAAAAATTTCTGAAGTACTTGCAGTTTATGAATTATGCATTCTTGCTTTTGACCATTCATACATTATAATCCTTGCTTAACATACTCCTTCCATGGGTTCGTTGATACCTGACTTTACATATAAAATTGATTTTTGAACATTAGTTTGAACTGCATGAGTTCGCGTATCTTATCTGCAAATTTTCTTCCATCCCTGCCACCCCTGAGAAAGCAGAACCACCCCTCTCTTTTCTCCTCATCAGTCAACTCAATGTGAAAAAAATGATGAAGACCTTTACAATGATTTACTTCCACTTAATGAATAGTAAGTATATTTTCTTTTTCTTATTTTCATAACATTTTTTTTATTGTAATAAATTACAATAAATTATTGCTTAATTTATTTTAAGAATGTAGCGTATAATACATATAAGATACTAAATATATGGTAATCAGTTGTTTATGTTATTGGTAAGGCTTTTGGTCAACATTTGGCTATTAGTAGTTAAGTTTTGGGGGAGTCAAAACTCATGCCCAAATTTTCAACTATAAAGGGCATCTACACCCCAAATCCCTGCACTGTTTAAGGGGAAATTGTATTTACAAGTCTTAGTTTAAATGTCTCTTTTAAAAACCTTCAATAATTACCAAAACCAGTTAAGTGCCCTTCTTTTCAAAATCTGTAACCTCCTATATTTTATCCAACATAGCATCATGTAACATTACATTTTCATTGCTTACTTGCTTAATTTCTCATTTGTATGTTGACTGTGATTTCCTTTTGGGTTGGCTGAGAATTTTTATTATACCCTGTTACCCTAGCATAATTCATAAAGCATGACAAAAGCCCAGAAACAATTATTTGTGAAATTATAAAATGTATTTTTTTTTGGAGCATTTCAAGTAAGTTCCTACCCAGGAAAAAAAATGTTAAGCATATTTTAATTTCTGACCTCCTTGAAAATGTCAATGATAAAGCAGTCCACTGAACTGTGTGTGATGTGGTTTGGCTCTGTGTCCTCACCCAAATCTCACTTTGAACTGTAATTCGAATTGTAAACCCCATATGTTGGGAAAGGGACCTCATGGGAGGTGATTAGATCATGGGGTGGTTTCCCCATGCTGTTCTTGTGACAGTGAGTGAGTTTTCTTGAGATCTGATGGCTTTATAAAAGGTTTTGTTCCCCTTTGCACTGTACTTCTTTTTCCTGAAGCATACGAAGAAGGCCATGTTTGCTTTCCCTTCTGCGGTGATTGTGAGTTGCCTGAGGCCTCCTCAGCCCTGTGGAACTGTTGGCCAACAAACCTCCATCCTTTATAAATTATCCAGTCTCAGAAAGTTCTTTATAGCAGCGTGAGAATGGACTAACACAGTGTGCTTGAAGAATCATTTTTGGAATTGAGAAAAATCAGCTGATTTAGACCTTGGCACCCACACTGTTGAATAATATAATTATTTATCTTTTATCCTAATTAACCTCTTCAAATCTCTTAAAAACCTGACTTAACATCTAGGAAGTATAGGTTATTTTTATGTTTTAATCTCCACCAGATGATTCAGCTAAAAATCAACTAATTCAATCACTATAGTTTAAATGAATATAGGCTCTGATTTTTGGATGATGTTCTCATAAACACCAACCAACCAGAGAATGAGTCATAATATCTCTAAGGTATTTAAGCAATCAAGCCCCAGAGCCAGCAGGAAGGAAAGTTAAGTAACATAACTCATCCAGGACACAGACATTATTGGAAATGTAATTTCTGCTTCAGCAGTGCATTTTCAGAGATGCTGAAAGAATTACAGTGGAAGTCTGAGAGAATAATCATGTTCTTGTAAGTTCAATACTGGATACAGCATTTCCTTCGAAATAAATATAACCAAATAAAACAGTTTAATATCCTTAAACATATAAAATATTATGCTTCTACATACACATTAAAGGCATGATCAGAGATGTGGCATATGTGTGCATTTGTACATGAGGGACTATGAGAGTGGAAGATACGAAAAAGCCAAGAGAGTGATTGTAGCCACTTCAGAGTTCAAAGATGGGTTGCTGTTTCTAGGGAAGTATAAGTACTGTTACAGTCCCACCAAATATAATTATGTCAAGGTTAAAGCTGACAAAAGATGGCCTTATCTTAAGCGAGTAACTCTTATAAGGTTAAAAATGAGATATAAATTAGAAATATTCCACTTAAAATTGCACATGCTTTTATAAAACATAAGCCTCATGATTTATTTGGAACATACCACATCCATTATTTAATTTGGTTTGCTTTTAACTTGTAGCCGTATGCAAAGTGTGTTAATGCAGAGCCCCAAGGGAATCCAGATAAGTTGGGAAAAATACTGATCTGCAAGTCCATCCCTGGAAAGTCTGACTGAATGATTTTGAGGACAGCCTAAGTGTCAGGACATTTACAGTCTCCTCAACAGGTTCTAAGGTATGTCTAAGGTGGAGAAACACTCTGTAAAGGGAATACAGGCTTCCAAGCATAAATTTTAAGGATTTTACAAAGCATTTTATTTATGAGTATACATTTTTTCTTTCTGTATAATTCGAATTTTAGCAGTTAAATAGATTTCACACTAAGTCAGAAATATGCAGACTTTCTCTAGCACTTCCACCCTAAAAACCCTCCATTAAATGTGATAAGAAATATTTTTCTTAATGTCATTCACAAGTGACAAATATAGCAATTTATCATGACCTGTACAATCTTTAATTCCCTTTAATATTTAACCCAATATTCCCAGTTACTTATAGCCATAGGCTTTCTACAGCAAACTTGCTTATTTGGAGTGATGTAAGTCTTAGTTGAAGTGATATAAGAATTAAAGGCAAGGGAAACAGAAGCTATGTCCTTTAGAGAGCTTGAGGTAAATGAGATGGATTGGAAACCTTGAGGGGTGAATGAGATGGCTCCTGAAGATAGAATGCAAAATGTGAAAGGGTGGGGTGAGAGAATGGTAACTGAAGCAGTTGAAAAAAAAAAAGACATTAACAGAGTTCTCATGAGAAGAAATTAAGTAAACGTTCATCTCAACCAAGTGCTGCCATTAAAGAAATGGTATTTGGCTGGACTCTCAAGTCTCATATGTGATCATTCTGCCTTCACACAGCCACCTATTGCAGTCTTTAAGGAGGATATGTGAATGGAGGGCAAAGTTTGCAAAATGAACTCTTTGTTTTGCCACACATTATAGTGATCTATCTTCCCTCAATTTCTAGTGATTTATCTTAGATGGCAGGATATCCGGCTTTGTTTAGCTTGTAACTAGCCTAAGTGGCTTAAAATAACTAAGAGAAGATCAAGAGACAATTTGAGCCTTTTTGATCTTAAATCTATACCCAAATATTGGCCTGTTAGATCTTGGTATTCTGAAGATGAAGGTAACTGATTCTGTGGAAACCATGGCAGGCTAAATACAAAAGACAGGGTTGATCTCAGAGGCTTAGAACAGAGTGGATTTCCTCTGCCCACAAGGGTCTCCCTAAACCAGATGGATATCACAGGTCATCATGCCACACTTAGCACCTGGAGAAAAGAGGGTAGGAGGTAACTAAGGTGATAAAGAGACCTCTGCTGAACACATTCAGAGATTTCTCCTCTCCTCTCACAGTGTGCACTCTACCACCAGGCATCCTGGGTCAATGTTTCCTCTTAATCTCTAACTGACTTAACACATGTTCGAAAGGACACAGGATAGCGTTTGAATCCCACTGTAAACTATTAGGTACATTTTGCTAAATAATGATGGTCAAAAATTAAAGCAATGCCTGTAATCCCAGCACTTTGGGAGGCTGAGGCAGGTGGATCATGAGGTCAAGAGATCGAGACCATCCTGGTCAACATGGTGAAACCCTGTCTCTACTAAAAATACAAAAAATTAGCTTGGCATGGTGGCACATGCCTGTAATCCCAGCTACTCAGGAGGCTGAGGCAGGAGAATTGTCTGAACCCAGGAGGCGGAGGTTGCGGCGAGCCGAGATCGCGCCATTGCACTCCAGCCAACAAGAGTGAAACTCCGTCTCAAAAAAAAAAAAAAAAAAAGAAAGTTAACACCAGTGCTGCACTAAAAGAAACCCCAGTCCTTTTTGTTGGCCTGTTTCCGAGTTTCAGATGATTTTTCTTAGTAGTTTGGTATATTTGTTTGGCTTGAAAGTCTGCATGAGATGGTGGGAGCAAAGGAAGCAAAAGAAGAGATTTTCATTGTGCCAGGCACTGTGCTGAGAACTTCACATATTATTGCTCATTTACTCCTCAGCGCACAGTGGGCCTGGCAAGCTCACTTTCATTGGTGTAGAAACTCTGGCTTAAAGAAGTTACTAGGCCAGACCTGGTGGCTCTCACCTGTAATCCCAGCACTTCGGGAGGCAGAGGTAGGCAGATCACTTGAGGTCAGGAGTTCAAGACCAGCCTGGCCAAAATGGTGAAACCCCATCTTTACTAAAAATACAAAAATTAGCCAGTCCTTGTGGAGCATACCTGTAATCTCACCTACACAGGTGGTTGAGGCAGGAGAATTCCTTGAACCCAGGAGGCAAAGGTGGCAAGGAGCCAATGTCTCAAAATTAAATAAATCAATTAAATTAAATTAAAAAGAAGAAACAACTTACTTGCAGTACTTTGAAGTTAGAGAAGATGGGAATAGGTCTATCCAATTCCAAGATCCTTAGTTTCTTCCATCACAACCTTCTGCTTTTCCTAAGAAAATGTGTTCCAAACCAAATGACATCCACACTGGAAACTTCCACTTACGTCCTGCAAAAACATGATTTAGAGCACACATTTTTTTGGTCTCAAACTCAATTCTGTGTCATTCTTCAAATAGCTTCTGACCTGTTTCTAAATTCCCAGGCTCTTTACTTTTGCTTATTCTGGATGATGAGTCAGGCACTCTATCCTGGCCATTTTCACTTGGGCTGCCTCAGGCAAACACTTCTGGGAAGTAAGAAGTTAAGGAGCTGCTCCAGGGGGAAAAAAACAATACTCAGTTAAATCTCCTTGTAAACGTGCTTCATTAGCAAACAAACTAATGGTGTTTTCTAGGGAGAGTAGAAAGTCCTTTTCAATGGGAAGCTTTGAGTGGGCTGTGCTTGGGATTGTTTAGAATTGCTCATGATACATATACCCGAGATCCATGAAGTTATAAGGCATGATACTGCAGAAAATGTCACGTAAGCTAGAGAACTATTTGAGCACGAATTGAAAATGTTTCATGAGCCAGATGCCTTTTTCCCCTGAGAATGTAGCTATATATATTATTTAGAGACCTTCTATGCAAATAGAGCCAGAGTGCCTAATGTAGTGAGAAGAGACCTAGAGACCTGTGGGCAACGCTCCAGACCTTGCTATGCCCCACTACGCTTTGTGGTTACTTGTGCACTTGAAATTGTGGATACACTTTGGTGCTGACAAAGATCTGAGGTTTTCATGAATCTTATTTGACAACCTGAACCTGTTTTATCTCAATTGTTTCCTAAATTTGGCTACTAAATTTATGGGCCCACCATTTACAATTGTGCAGATTGGGTACTGCACAACTCTAGGGCTCTTTATTTACATTGTAGACTATGAACAGTTGGCTCTGCTATAGCACAGCCTGAGTGATGACGAGCAGCAATTCTCCTGCAGAATAAACCAGGCTTCAAAGGAAAGGAGTAGGCAACAGAAGTTTCCATATTGTTAATTCCCTTTGACATTTTATAAAAATCAAGAAAAATTGTTACATTAATAACAAAGTATTTAAAATATAAAATTGATTTTAATGCATGTTATGAATGTACAATCCCAAGTTAGGAGGATTCTGATGGATAGCTTTGTAGTCTAACTGTAAACTCTATTTATATTTAGATTTAATATCATATTCTGTTAGGGATGACTCCCACTCTGAAGAAGCTAGCTGTGAGGTATGCCATTACCTGCCTCATTGTCAGAGGAACACCATACGATACTGAACAGGACCACTGAAAATAGAGAGGAGCACCACACAAGAAGAAATAAATGTCAACATTATCAAAAAGCCACCTACCTCATGATCTTGATTTGTAGTCAGCAATTATTTGTTTGTTTTACTGTAAAGGCCAAATAATACATATTTTAGATATTGGGGACTTTAGGCCTCTGTTTCAACTACTCATCTCTGTCAGTATAATGAGAGAGCAGCCACAGACAATACAAAACTGGATAACCATTCCGTTGTTACTTACAAAAAGAGGCAGTGTCCCATTGTTGACAGGAGGTATAGCTGGGAGAGTGTATCTGTTAATGGATGGCAATACCAAGTCCTCTAGAAAAGGGAGTATGCCTCATTTTAGAGATGCTGCCCATGGCAACTCTTGGAGATGATTTATATGTAGATAAAGGGTTAATTTTTATAACCTGCAGATCATCTGGTGTGTCAGCAGGACTTGCTCTGAAGCAATCTTCAGTCTCAGAGCAGACTGGATTTCCTGGGGAAACGTTAATATCAATCTTGGTAAAAGTTTCACACCTTACGAATGTCACGTGTGGCAGAAGAATGTATCGTATGTTCTCACTCTCACTACCATTTTTCCAAAGCTCAGGATTACATTCATCTTGCTGATCTGTTGGAAAGTGTATAAACCCAGTGTGCGATGGTGCTATTTGATAGTGTCCTGCTCTTGGGCAACAAATAGTTTGGGTGACTCAGAGGGAAAAGGGCTGGGCCTGGGCTTGATTCCTAGAGTACTGGCAGAAGGTGAAATTCTCGGGGGAGATTGATGAGATGGATTCAGAAACTTAAGTGAAATATTCAGGACTGAGTTGAAAATAGGGGTTAGAGAGACCCCTTTGATCAAAGACAAAATATAAATGAGAATAGAATCAAGAATTGGAAAAAGGGAAGAAGCAGATCAAAGAGGTTCCTGATTTGGGGAAAGGGAAGATGCTCTAGTGATCATTGGAAAGCCCCCTGGCTGGTTGTTACCTGTGAAATGCCTCTTTGCCAGGGTAACCTAGGAAGTGCAAGTGTGATGTTATTTAATGTAGTTAACTGTTCCTTGAGAATAACAATCAGAACATGCTAGTAAAGTTTTCAACTTTCAAATATTTTAGAGAACTTCCCTAATTTTTATTATTATTTGATTATCTTGTTCCCCCCAACCCCAACCAATGTGGCAGGGTGTATTTTCAAAGTGAAAGGATTCTGCATGGGACACAGGAGTTATTTATACAAGCAAGGCACTCATCCTTGTTTATTTGCATGTGTTGTGTTCTTGACACCTTTTCCTGAGGTGACTCCTCTGACCCTTCATAAATTTCATGGAGTTGATTTCAGAATAAGTCTAGGCCTCTGTATTATCTTCACAAATGACCAATGGTAACATTCATACATGTTTTGCTAGGCAGAGCACACTCCAACTCTGTTATATACACCTATATCATGGCAATCAATGGGCCTCGAACTCATGCTGTCAGCTTTCTGATTACGATTATGACATTCAGATGTCACAATCTGAATCTCTAAGGTATGACATCCACATTCAGATGTCACAATCTGAATCTCTAAGGTATGACATCCACATTCAGATGTCACAATCTGAATCTCTAAGGTATGACATCCACATTCAGATGTCACAATCTGAATCTCTAAGGTATGACATCCACATTCAGATGTCACAATCTGAATCTCTAAGGTATGACATCCACATTCAGATGTCACAATCTGAATCTCTAAGGTATGACATCCACATTCAGATGTCATAATCTGAATCTCTAAGGTATGACATCCACATTCAGATGTCATAATCTGAATCTTTAAGGTATGTATGTTGGATTTAGGACAAGTAGTAGGAGAATACTTTTTTTTTTTGAATGGGAGAATTCTATGTTATGCTGTTCTTTTTTAATGTGATGAGTAAAGATTTGGATCTGTTTCAAGATTTAAATGGATAAGCATCCTTTAAAAAAAAACAAAACATTTTTTAACTTAGAAATGCCAATTCACTTGGCTTCCCAGAATGATTTGCAAATGCAAAGCACTTCCTCTGAGTAAATGGAGGGTTGTTATGGTATTCAATAAATAGTGTGGGCTGAGGCAAAAGGAGAGAGCCTCCATCCTTCCAGAGAAGTTCAGCTCATCAAGAACATAGGCATGCAGTGAAGTCACTGTGAATGATGTGGATTCTACACTAATCCCTTCCATTAGAATTTGGGTTATGTGGGAGTAGAAGTGTCATCTAAGGAGGCCAGCTGTCTTCTTAGGCTGTGCCATTTATAGGATTCTTGTGATCTGGATTCTTGTTCCCAGCTTTGCAGTTTCAGCATTTTGCAGTTTTAAAGACACCCAGAGTTGATCAGATGCAAGGAGAAAAACAGACACTAAAGCAAGTACCAGGAGACTGGCTTATCCACCAAAGGCTGATCTGCAAAACTGAATGGGAGAGACCCTTTCCCACTGCATGGGATGCTCTGTCTCCTATGAACAAATTTCATCTGTGTTAGCTTGAATGTGAAATAACAATAAAATAATTTCAGATGTTTATCAAGCTGTGACCATATGCTAGGTCTCTAAGTTTAAATGTTGGATCTTATTTAAAATTCAACAATCTATAAGGTAGACATTGTTATTATCACTAATTTTCAAAGGGAATTATGGAGGCTTTTGTCAGCCACAGGTGACAGAGCTAGTGAGTGGTGGGTTTTTTTGTACCTGCAGCAGCCTGGCTTTAGCTCTCTCTTAACTCTTAGCACACATGCAAATGAACATCCACATACCATTCCTGCCTTAAAACACTGATCAATGCAATGCTACCCTTCAGGGCTCATAAGTCCAAGTGAGATGTTTGGTCCTAACTGAGGCTTGCTTTTAAGGTTTTTTAAAGATTGTCTTTGGCACAGTGATTTGGAAATTACGCATTCACCAGTAAAGGTAACAGTTTTTTCATTTCAGTGTTCAGTTCACTTAAATTCAACTCAATTCAGCATTCCGTGAGCATGTGCTATATAATTAATACCTGATGCATATTATTTCGTCAAATCCTCTCAATAACCTGATAATGCTTTTTTGGTATATGGGGAATTTAGGCTCAAATATCTTAGTTAATTTTCTCCAAGTCTGACAGGTTGCATTACAAAATACTGAAGAGAAGTCTTTGAGAAACAAAAGAATCTATTTCTAATCAACCTGCTGCCATTTACTGCCTCACTGATGCTAAGCGATTTATAACCTTGGAGGTAATATCCCAACCACACAGAGGTGTCATCAAGACAGAAGGTGATTATTCATAAGAAAGTTCTTTTTAAACACAGTGCAGCTATTCTCAGAGAAATGGCTGAGTTAAAATGATGTGGCCACCTTTGCCTCTAGAACATCATTCAAAAACAAGACAAATGAGAAGGAGGATTTTCAACTCCACTTTCAACAATACTGGGAAAGATACACAATCCTGAAACAGAATATATGAGCAGCACAACATCCTGAAACAATATATGAGCAGCACAAAAGGCTGCTCAGCAGAGTGAAGTTCAGGTAGGGGTTTGGGAAGGTGCTGAAGTGGAGATGTAGATTTCAGACAAGCAGGACTGGAGAGTGCTATTCTCCCTGGAAACAGAGATGCCAGCTGGAGGAGAACAGCTCTGTCCTGTGTACTGCGCTTGATGCTTTGGGCTGGGGGAAATACAGGTTAAATAACTTGCTGTCTGTGCTGTGAACCAGGGAGAATTCCTGCCAATCTGGAGTGTGGTCTTCTCTCTCTTCCTCACAAACTCTGCAAATGGCAGGCCC